AACATAACCTCATGCTTTCTAAATATAAATTTAGTAAAACTTAATGAAAACGGTTATAATACCAAAGTTATTAGTTTTAGTTAGTGGGCCTGAGCTTAAATTAGCTGAACTACTAGTTGACTTATAAGTTATTAGTATAAATATGAATATTAGGCTAGGGTATTGTGTAACATTCAATATCAATCTCCATCAAATTAAATGTCCTCTCTTTTCCATCATTTTTACCTAAACCCTACTATTTCAATATGCTACAATTATGTTTGGGTGAAAAGAGAGAGAAATGGCTAAAGTAAGCTGAATATCGATAAATGAGTTGTACAATATCTAATGCTCTTAATAATTTATTTATACCAACAATTATGTCTAATACCAACAATTATGTCTAGTACCAGTACAACTAGTACAAGGCAACAAGCCCAACCAAGTTCACTAACAACAAACCAATAACCCATTCTAACATAAACTAATAAGTAGGGAAGCAATAGTTATATTGGAGAGTTGTACAAAGAGTAAAGCAACAGGAGAAAGACTTCCATTAATACCTCAATCCATTTCTTCCGGAAGTCTTCAGGACATGGCCTTTGATCGGGGAAAACACCAGGCTTAGCAAGTTGTGATGCTGAAAGAGCCACTCCATATACTTGACCAGCCTGCCAAAATAAGCAATATCATGTAGATCAAATACCTTCATAATATGTAGGACGCACTAAACCCAAAATAAAACATAAATATGGAATATTTTAGAGGCAATGAGGCATACATATTGTTCAGAAAGCATAATAAAATAAGAGAATAAAGATCATTTGTCATCACCTTCCGCTTCTGAACACGGGATTCATTGATGGCCCTTAGACGTTTTCTGATGGCCTGGAAAGAAGATGAAATATTCAAGAATTAACCTACAAACACTTCCAATGAATATAAATACCAAATGGAGAATGTGCAGTATATTCATGGCATAGGCTATGTCTGGCAAAACTACCTAATAAGTTAGCTTAAAGCACATAAGTCAGCTTAACACTAATAAGCTAGTATTAGAAGTGTTCAATAAAATCTGTTATTGAAAGTAGCTGATAAATGTAAAATGGCATAAAAGGACATATTTATATGATTATTTATATAAACGATATTTCTGTTTTGTATACAAAAAATATATATTTCAGTAATTATAGTTTTAGATTCATTGATTAATTTTTTAAAAGATTAAATATTTTATTAAAATTAGAATAAAGAAAGTACATTAAAATAGTAAGGATAAAAATGGAAGAAAAAATAAGGTACAAGCTCATATGTTATACATTAGTTGAAGTAGCTTATACATTATAAACTATTAAATTCA